CCCCCCGTGACGTAAGCGAACAAGGTAAAGTGTACCGCAGCAATGTGCGCTGTACTGTGTACTACACGCAACTTGTGTGAGAGTCAGTACAGTACAGTACAGTACAGTTCTCTCGCGATCACTTATCTTCACATTTATCACAATTTCCTTCTTATTTCTTAACCCCTCGGAAACAGAAAGATGTTCATTTTGTTGTAAGAGTGAGAGTAAAAAAGGAGATGACTGCGATAATATAAAATTGTTGAAAATTTCAGCGTTTTCGAGTGCGTCATCAACTTCAGGGGTTGGTAGAAGCGCGTGCGCCGGACGGGAGTTGTGTGGGGGTGTGTGGGGGCGGAGAGAGGGCGGTGATCAGACACAGTGAGTGCAAACAATGTGGACACAAGTTAGTGTAAATGTGATGTACAATGTCAGTGCTTCTTGTTACACTCGGACAAAGTAAATGTACATAGTTGTTAGTAGTACTTGTGCCTCGTGCCCCCCAGTGCCCCCTGGTGCCCCCCTCGTGCCCCCTAGTGCCCCCCTCGTGCCCCCCGCGTGCCCCCTCGTGCCGCGCGACTTTAACGTAAAATTGTATTTGATTTAATTTTAAGTTAAACTATAGCTTGTTTTATTTAAATTAAATATGTATTATAGAAATAGTATAATAAGCGTACACTGGAACTGGAACTGGAACTGGAACTGGATTGGAAATAAATGTTTTTTTTATACTTGGTTCTATTATTTTAGTTTGTGTAACCGCTGCCCATAGATTAAGTTAAGTTAAACGTACAGAGGAGGGTACATATCCTCCGTGACATCGAGTTCCTCTTCCCGTGGACTGCTGCAGGACTGAGGGACTGGACTAGGACTTTGGTTGTCACGTCAGGTTTTCTTTGATGCCATTTAGAATGCTTCGTAGGAATGAAGATGTCTATTACTTTCAGACAGAACTAGCCGCGATATTGTGCTTATTTAAGATAGATTGGTTTGACGAGTAACGCCTATAAAATATCGAATTAATTTTGTATGACGTTTAATATGATACTAAATGGACGGTTATCATATTGTCGAACCTCCGCGCTCAACTAGTAACTGTCAACTAACGAGATCGAACAAATGTCTGATATAATTAGGTATTTAATCATTTATAATTTATTAGTTTTTTGTCAATGTATCGCTTAATTAATTTTAAAAAATCTTTTTTGTTCGTGAACACCGCAATTTTTGGTTTAATGTCTTCTTTCTTAATGTAGTTATGAAGGATAAAGAAGGCAGAGAAAGAAACAATTTTATTTATATTAACAAAATTTTAATTACAATATTGTAATTCCAAAATAATAATCACAAATGTTCGATTGCAAGTTCTATGAGAACAACTATCGAAAATCGAAAAAATTCCTAATCTACTTTCCTCCACCATGTCTAGTCAATTGTCAAACCAATGTAACTTAAATAGACACACTATGGATATGGATTAAGTAAAATCGATTAAGTTTTTTTTTAGATTTTAAATGTTTTTCACATGACGTGAGACTGTATAAGATAAAGCTTTTGGCTATTAATTAAGAAAAAACTCAAAATTACTTCAAAAGTCATCACCTCTCTACCCTAAGTTAAGGGTGACTAGGCCATAGTCAATCACATTGGCCAAGTGCGGGTTGACTTCACACATATCTTTGACTCATCACGATGTTTTCCTTCACCGTAAGAACGTCGGATGAATGTAGTACATATGTAAATCGGTAATGGAAAACCACATTGGTACATAGCGAGATTCGAAACGTTCATATAATAGTAACGTAATCGGATCCCTACAAATACTACAAATGTTTACAAAAGGGGTAGAAATCATTCACCAGTCAAATTTTAAAATTATATATTTTATTATTAAAATGTCGGCGTTATTTTTAAATGGTAGTTGATATTTAATAGAATAGTTCTGTTGTAAAGTGAACAATATAACATAAATAATACACAATTACAATAACAATCCAAATTTATGGAAATTGCTTCATACACAAGGCAATGTTGTTCTATGTACAAGTGCTATAACTAACGTTAACTAAACAGATTTACAAATTCGGTGTAAAGAAACGCCCATGCGAATGCGGAAGTGAGATGCGGCGGCCGCAGTCGAGCCTCGCGACACTATTGCAAATACATACACACGTACTAGTACACTAGAAGATGTGCGTTCATACAATAATATTAAAGTTGTACTATTGCCGTCATTCGAGGTGTTCCACTTACAGAAAAATTGCGTTGCACCTCGTATTTAGATAAATTAAACTGCGCACCATTTTACAACTAAATTATAAGTGCACTCTCGTTGTTTTGGTCTGTTTCAAAGTGTTCTTGACATAAAACTATTTAACTACATTTTGCGATTATCGTGTCAAGACGAGCGTGAAGTTAATCGATTATATAAGTTTGGAGATAGAAGACCGACAACGAAAGTGACTAAACTTGACTTAAGGTAAATACATAAAATAAAGTACAAAACTTACAGTTACGATATTGAAAACGATATGAACTCATCATTATTGCAACATTTACATTTTACACTAACAGTGCCGATGATGATGACAATGAATAAGCATCAAACATAAGGGCAATAAGTAGATATGTACAAACAAATTAAATATCATCATTTTTATACAATTTCATTTCGTCATATAATTTTACTCTTACGTATATGTATTATTGTAAAACTACGAACTCCTAAGTTTACCAACATACGAGTAGTTATGATGTAAATCCAAAAATTACGTGGTCTTAATTTATTTCAAATACATGTTGGAGCAAACGGATCTCGCTGAAGTGTGGCACACAGTGATCTCAAAGGTTTTTTCGCTATTTTCAAATAACTTCTACAATATGAACATTCTACATCTAATATTAAACTTTATTTAATTTTATTTACAAATATTATAATTACAAAATGTTACTTTATGTTACGTTATATATTTTGCGGACTGAAGATACGCTCTAATATTTAACTACACGCGGAGAAAGTACCTACATATATGTATAATACATATGCAAAAACGAATACAAATACTTTGGTAAACGTACGTTAGTGACGCGGAAATTCTCCGCTTAAAGAAAAAATGCCTATCTTTGTAGCGTGTTAAGTCTTCTTCTGTCTTAAAACAGTTTAAAAATAACTATGAATTACGTACATTGTTTATACTTAATGGAATTCGCACTGCTACTAACATTTAGTTTTATTTTATTTTATTTATTACAACATTTAGTAAAGGAGAACGTTTGTTTGAGGCGGCCAGCGGCCAGCGGCCGACAACCCCACCGTAGACCTGACAACGAGGCAAAAGCTATAGCGTTCAGTCGTCGTTATCCATGCCGATGAGCTCCGCCTGTAGGCGGCTCTTGGCGCGGCAGCAGGTAAGGCACAGGATCCTGAGCGCCAGTCTGAACTGCGGACTGAACGTTATCAGTATCACGATTTTCCAAAAAGAATTGAGAATCCCCAACCAGACGACGCCGAAATGCAACATGGGCACTTTAACCACCGGCGCCGTGAAGTACTCGTAGATCTGAAGGGCGAAGTAGGGGATCCAGGAGAGCCAGAAGGCGGCGACCAGCAAGAAGCTCATGCAGTGACTAGGGTTAGCGAGGTTCTCCGCCAGGGCGGTCGCGTACTCCTTGTCGTGCATGGGCGCGCCGCTGTTGAGTTTGCGCCGCATCGCAAATATGTAGTAGTAGTTGTAAACGATGGAAATGAGGCTCGGCCCCAGAACGAGGATGCCCAAGGTCGCGGTGTACGCGTACGTCGACGCCCAGTCCAGCATGCAGATGAAGGTGCGCGCGTCGTAGTTAGCCTCCTTCTTGTAGCCGAGCAGCGGCGGGCAGCACAGCATGGCAGCCGAGATCCACGTAAACACCATCCAGCATTGGCTGCGCGTGCGCGTTTGTACCTGCCGCAGAGTATGTGTGAGGCCCGCATCGGGCTCAAAGGAAAGGAATACTACCTCGTGCAAACTAAACTCTACGCTATATCGTCTGTTTTTCCTTGCGTTAATTCGTTTCGCCAATTTTCAAATTTTACTTAAGTAATTGTTGGCAACATTTTCCGATGACATAATTTTGAATGATAAACACACGATTACGAGTTGAAACATGCCTCAGCCTAAGTACTTGAGTAATGTAAATATGTAATATACATTTCTAATGACAGTATTTATTGTTATTATATTTGTATAAATCAAAAGCCTACCTAATTCATGCGATACATGTTTCTTATTCAACGTGAAAAAGCTAACAGAATATTTATTTCGATGGTTAAATAAACATTAAACAATCACATTAAAGAGAAGAAATTCACTTAACAAGTAACGTAACTATCTGGTTCAGGTGCTTTCCTTCTCTAGTATTATATTATAGAATAACCTGCAATTAATAAGATATAAAAGGGGTACATGCAAATGAAGCATAGTCATTGGAAAAAGAGGTATGGTTAGGTAAATCTTATCATTTCTTTATAACATTGTCAACGAACAACGCGGCGCGGCGCGGCGCAGCGCTAGTCTAGCCGCTAGCCGCTAGCCGCTAGCCGGCCACCGGCCGCATGTCCATCTACCGCTGCTAACTGCCTAACTGATATATCGCTCATGTTATATCGCACAACAAATAATCCACACAAAGTAAATTTGCGATAATAGAATATTTTTTTCTTTACAACTAAAAGTTTTGTGTCGCCGTTGCTCAATGTATCGTTATTATAAAATATAACTACTCGAATATTTTCATTTACAAACAGTTGTAGGTAAGCAACATAGCAGATTAACATCGATGTCGCTTAGTCGACAATTACTCAAACTCAACTCTTCAATGTAATAAAAGTAATATTTTATTATATTGACGAGTTGACTAAGCAATCTAATAATGTTATGTTGTGAGCCGCACATGAGCGCCGGCGACATAAACTTTTCGTGCGTTCACACATGCCGTATTCTCTTGCCAACATCTGAACGCGCCCTTAGGCTAGGCACACACAATCCTGCTTGTTTTATCAAGTTTACATTTTAATATGCTAACGGTACTGCGTTTAACTTTTTTATTATTTAGACTTTAACCGCTGCGGCTCCGGTTCTCGTCCGCAGGTTTCAAGACGCACCGTATGTACAATAATCGCTCATAAATAACGCAATTTTATACTACTGTACATAATAATATTAATGATTTACCTAGATGAAATCGACCGGTGTCGGTGACACCAGACCACAAAATTTGCTTCAAAAAGCACCGGTTGAATTCGGATTGTGAGCGCTCAGCCTTATCTTGCCTAATGAACTGAGTATTCTGTTTCTCAATGGTATATATAATGAAGCAATGGCGCTGTCGATGACGCTAGGTACTCTAGGCCGCTAATGTAGTCGACAGAAACGTATTAACCTCGTAAGAAGTAGACAACTGCGGCGGTCGAGCAGTCGCGGTGGACCATATTCTAAGTAAAGAAGTATAAAAAAGATAGCTACCGTCAGACTAACCGTCTCATATCGGAGCGGTTTCCGGACCGCTAGGTAGCGGTCCACAGATATCCACATGAAGGTGTAGACGGAGACGGACCAGAGCGTGACCTCGATGTAGCCGGTCAGCCGACACACCAGCCCGCCGAACACCCAGCGGCCCACCGCCGCCGCGTGCACCGACAGCGGCACCACGAGCAGCCCGCACAGCAGGTCCGCCACGGCCAGCGACAGCAGGTAGTAGTTGATCACCTCGTGTGCCAGCCCTGCGCACACCACTAGTGCCTTACGTGTCACGCCTCACAACTCACACCAGCCTCTACTCTCTCATATCTACAGCTAACGGGGTTACCTTTGAAGTTGAGGAAGGCAGCTATGATGAGCAAGTTGGAGATGACGATGGCGATGCCCACTACGGCGATGACGGCGGCTTGCGTCAGCGACTCCAGCGAGGCCAGCGGGGAGTCTGCCACGCTCACGTCTGCGGCCGCCGAACCCGCGCCCGCGCCACCCAGCCGCGCCGGCATCGCCCCGTGCCCCGCGCCCAGTGCCCCGCTGCGCTGAGATTCACTTCAAAACTACTAGAATTTTAAATTTTAAATGATGCTGACTATATTACTTCAATGAAACTATACTTGAATCGGTTAAGTCGTTCCGGAGTTTTTCGTTCGATCTCATCATACATCCAAAATTCTATAAATTGGTTTGCATCCGCACTCGTTACACCCGCGGCTCAAAACTACTCTGACTCAACTCCTTGCAGCGTTTTTGTTAGTTTGACATCACGCGAACACACCTTTAACTGTCTCTGATAACTCATTGGCACCTCAAGGAGTGCCCGTTGCTTCACTTTAGGGAACAGTAATAAAATGGTCGCAACCGGTTATGCGCATTCGTGCCTTGGAACCTTTACCTTCGCTTAAAATGATTAGATTCTTAATCTAATTTGGGTATAACTACAAAATTTGCAGCGCACGTAACAAAATCCCACGTTTGTTTTACTATCGAAACAACGCCAAAAGTAACTGGAGCTCACACTCATGAAGAAACACAAACGGAACAGTCCCCGCGACCTCCCCCGCGACCTCACCCCGCGCCCTTATGTAACCTTTGGTTAATAACATTCTCTATTCATATTTTAAACATGCACAAAACCAGCTAAAATTTAACATTATCTTAGTTAACGAAGCCATCTACCTTGAATTAAGCTAAAATATTTATATTTTTATTAGGATATGGAGTAGTCGCTATTCATTGAGCGCCAAATGAGGACGACTGTTATAGCGGCGCGCGGCGGCAGGGCTCGGCGCAGCGCTGGGGGCGCGCTGGGGGCGCGCCTGCGCGGAGCGGCGGCGGCTGCCGGTAGCGAGGGTTTAGCAGTCAAGGCCAAGGGCGGCCGCACTCGGGCCCGCCGCCCCGCTCTGCGCCGCCCCGCTCCGCGCCCCGTCGTCCTCAGTACTAGAGCAATCGATACCGTCCTCTGAGATTGACGACATGCGCATTGACAAGAAAATTATACGGGTCCGCTAACTAAAATATTTAGTATGATGGATTTATTTAGTAATTTAAGGCAAATTCAATCCCTGTGACACGCCGAAGACAAGAGGTGATCGGTTAAACTAAGTTGCTGGTATTCGGGTAAACGGTTGTAATAAGACATTATATTAAGTAAAACTGCGACCTATAGCCGACGAGCTTGTCTACGTACATGTGCGGGTGTACAAGTAGTGTGGTTTTCTAGCAGCGCGCCAAAGGGAAAATCGTACCTTCTACCTTCCCTTTTGGGTTACAGGCGTGGGTGCTACAAATACGGATGGATTAAATCATGTACAATACCATCTCCTAAACTTAAGTATTACTTGCTTCAAACGTCTTATACTTTGTCACTCGGGTCTTCATATACGTCCATAAACTTTGGCAATTAAAATTTTTAGTTTTAATGCTAAAAATGTGAGTTAATTTTTTCTTCGAAAAAGTAAAATGTCACTCGGAAACAAGGTCGAGGCTTATTAGTGCATGGTTCACTACAATAGTCGAATGAATGTCAGGATTCCAATCCAACACCAAAAAATCGGTATTAGTAAATATTGTTTAGAAGTAATGTGCGTAGCGCGCGGACCTTCCGCTGCTAAATTAAACGCCGTTTGAATTTACAAGATATTTATTATTGTTGAAAAGTTTCAAAAATACACCAAATACTCGAGGTAAATGTTACATTGAGAGGTCGCGATACAAAGTAATTTGACTAGGTAATTCGTTTGCTACCACAAAATCACCGGAAGAGGACTTAAAGGCGCACAGCTCAGGGCGCGCGATGCGGAGCGCAAGTCGCAGGGCGCCGGCCACTCGGCTGCTCGGCTGCTCGGCTGCTCGGCTGCTCGGCTGCTCGGCTGCTCGGCTGCTAGATACAGCTACTAAAATTATTGTCATTGTAATAAGGAAAATGGTGAGGAAGGTATAGCGCTAGGAGAGGCGCGACTCGTCAGGTGCCGAGGGGCGCGTGCGGTAGCGAGCCAGGGGACGCGTCGGTGGGGGCACGCGCAGCGCCAGCGGCTCGGCGAACAGCTCGGCGAGCGGCTCGGTGCGCGCCGCTCTGGCCACCTGCACGTCGCCGCGCTCCAGCGACCACTGGCGACGCAGGGTGCGCGTGCTGCTCGACAAGCACCTGTCGTCAAATTTGTGTTGCAGAAAGTATACCGTGCAGTCGACGTTGGGGGTCGGGGAACCGCACCTGTAGCGGGCGTGCGCGGGACCCGCGGCGGGCGCGGCGCGCGGCGGGCTGCTGTCGGCGGATACGGCGCCCGAGCGCGCCCATGCCGCCCGTTCGGGTCGCGGGGCGCAGGCGGCCGCCACCGCTGTACATGCACAACATTTACTGTTTTAAACTTGTTAAACGTGGTACGAGTCACCGCAGTGCGAGTGTTACGCGACTCCTGTCCGACGCACAATGCGCCGTAAAGAAAATTAGGCACAAACAACGCCAGCGGGCGACAAGCCGAGCAAGATGATGATAGTGATAAGTAATTTCGATGAATTGTAATTCCACCTACTCAAGTAGTCCTCCTCGGCGTCGGAAAGTGCACGGCGGCGGGGGCAGGGGCGGGGCGGGCGGGGGGCGGGGGGCGCGGATGCTGCGACGCCACCACCCCCACCCCCGCCCCCGCCCTCGGCCGCGGTCTCGTCCTCGGACTCGAACAACACCTCTTCAGATCTGACAAAGTTTCGCATAGTTCGCTTTATGTAACGTTATATTTAAGTATTTACTTAATAAGAAGATGAATTCAAACTTTCGTCCACGTCCATGCAGCTTCGAGAAAAATTAAGGTGAATATGAAGAAAAGCAATAACTGTAGGGGCGGCGGGGTCGGCAGCGGGTCTTCGAAGCCGTCCTTGCCTAGCAGCCAGTACGTGTGCATGGCGCCCTTGCCCTTGACTTGGCGCAGGCCCCGCGAGCGCAGCCGATAGCCCCCGGCCGCCGCCAGCCGGGCCGCCGTCGCCGCCGACACCTGCACGCGCCACGCCGCACCTGCGTACACGCGCAAACTGCGCTCAACAAGAGCGCACCTCCCGCCCCGCGTGCTCTAGCACCCGCCCTACCAGTGGACTCCATGCGCGAGGCGGTATTGACGGTGTCGCCGAAGAGGCAGTAGCGCGGCATGGTGAGGCCGACGACGGCGGCGCAGCAGGGCCCCGAGTGCAGCCCGCTGCGCAAGTGTAGCGGCGCGTCGGGCAGGTGGCGGATGCGGAAGCGGCCCGCCAGATGCAACAGGCGCAACGCCATGCTGGCCACGCGCTCGGCGTGGTCGCGCGCGCGCTCCGGCAACCCGCCCACTACCATGTACGCGTCGCCGATCGTCTCCACCTGGGGACGCACTTAGATTCCAGTCTACCGCTCTCTCCAAGGATAATGGTGTGAAGCGATTTTATAGGGTGATATTTTGACCTTGTATACGCCGTAGCGCTCGATGGCGGCGTCGAATGAGGAGTAGAGGTCGTTGAGGAGGTCGACGACCTGCACGGGCGTGCTGCGCGCCGCCAGCGCCGTGAAGCCCACGATGTCACTGAAGTAGATGGTCACCTCCTCGAACTCCTCGGGCGGTACTCGCAGCCCCAGCACCAGACGCTCCGCCACCGGCCTGTGCAGAGCGCTGTCTTTCAACGACTGTCTCGGCCGACGACAATCTCACGCCTCCTACCGCTCTTACCTCGGCAGCATTCTGTTTAGAAGTTGTTCGGTTTTCTTTTTCTCCACATCCAACTGTTCCGTTCTTTCTTTGATAAGTTCTTCTAAATTATTGCTGTACTTCTCCAGCATCTCGAACATGGAGTCGACTATGTTGATCTTCCTGTAAATTTATTTGAGTAATTGAGGTTGACACCGCCTTCCCGTATCCCGCATAACTTTTTTTATTTCAAAAAAATATCGGGAAGACAGGTTGTTCACGATGTGCAGACCGGCCGCGGTGCATGTGCCGGAACATGTGGTAGAGGCGCGCGAAGTCGGGTCGCATCGCCGGCGCCTCCGCCCAGCACTGGCGCATGGCACGCACGGCGTCGGGCGGCGCCGCACCCAGCGACACCGACGGCCGCACTAGCGGCGGCCCGCGGCGCAGCTTCTCCACGATCTCTGCAAACGTGTCAAAACATCTTGTAGGGACTCAAGTACGATGATTTCTGAGACAAATATGAGTCAGACCGCACGCCTTACGCACTCCTGCCGGCTCGGGTACAATATCCTCGACCACCGCAATCTTTACATCGGCCGAGACCCGTTCTCATTCTTTAGTAAGAAAGATCTCCGTTACCAGTCTCTCTTATGAATATATTGCAGTGTACTTAAGTACATTAGTTTTAGTTGTATTTATAATATTTTACGTATACGATTACCTTCTTGGCCGAGGTCGACTAGGTAAATAGTAATTTGCAATTGGCAACTTTTTCTCTTGACATAGGACATGTAATTTTTTTTTTTAATTGTAAGAATATGTAACGAATTTATTAAACTATTAAAATATTTATTTACATCCTTATTTCTATGAATACATAAACTCTTAAATCTATGATATAAAATAAAATTAAAAAAAAAAAAAAAACCGAATAATTAACTAAAATATGTTAATAAAAGGAGTCCCTAGGACATGTAATGATAAGAAAAAAATTGTGACGGAAGAGCGGATCAGACCTTCGGGCGCCAGCTGCAGCATGCAGTAGGGCTCGCCACGCACGATCACTTCCTGCATGATGATCGCGAAGGAGAATACATCTCCGGCCTGGGTGCCCCCCTCGTGCGCCCCGTGCCCCGCATGCGCCCCGTGACCCGCGTGCCCCCCGTGCCCCGCGGCGCGCAGCAGCTCGGGCGCTGTCCACAGCAGGTCTGCCACAAACGCGCTTGCGTCAACACGCGTCATCCCACAATTACTTCGTTACACAAACTACTCGTGCTTAGTGATTTATTTTGTTTAAATTCTTGCAAGTACAGACTTCTTGTTATTAAATAGAATAATATTTTCACCAATATTTACTTGCAAAGACTCTTTCATGCGTCTAAAACGATACCGTCGAATAGTATTTTTGCGGTGCGCACCTCTTGCGGAACGCGTCGGTAGCGGCAGGGTCTGCGCGTGTGCGAACGCCGGCACGCCGTAGTCGGTGACTCGCAGAACCCACCGCGCGTCCACGACGCAGTTGCGCGACGAGAGGCGGCCGTGCACGCGCAGCGGTGACGCGTGCAGGTAGCGCATGCCGCGCACCAAGTCCGTCAGCAGGGATAGCCGGAACGTCCAATCCAGCCGGATGTCGTCCGCCACCAGCACGTCTTCCAGCGAGCCGCGCGCGCACGCCGCGAACACCAGCGCACCGCGCGCGCCACGCACGCTCCGCACGCCCCGCGCCTCCGCTAGCCAACCTACGCCCACCGCGCGCCACCGGCCGCACGAACTATCGACTCGACATCTACTCGACGGCGACTCGATAACGAGTAACGAGTCGACAGTCTTACATCATTCGATTTATTGCGATAACTCGATAACTTCGTAACGGTTCATATCATATTGAAATATAGCACAGATAAAAAACATAGCATCTCTAACACATGAAATTTCACGCTTTTCTAAATCGGGATGTTTGTTATGAAGTATATCCAGAACGGATAAACGAACCTTGCTGAAATTTGGCATAGATGTAGAACATAGTCTAAAAGGACACAGGATGTGCGAGTTGCGCTGGTGAGTACCTATGAAGGGATTGACGTTGTCATGACGTAGCGCCTGCAACACCAGCAGCAGGTCGGCGGCGCGCCGGCGCAACGCACCGCCCGTCCCGCCCACGCCCCCCGCGCCAACCCCCACCGGCCGCACGTGCACCGGCTCGCCCTGAACATTTACACTCACATCTCAGTACATTCTCAGTGAGCCTTGCTGCTTCCTAAGGCAGTTTTTATCTCGCTCACCATTAACTGACGGAGACGACTGTTATGAAAACCAAAAATTATTGTAACACAAATAATTTTACGCTGGAAAAGAACGCAACTGAAACTCTGCTGCTGTGGAAGGCCAGGGGATCCGTACCTTGTACAGAGTGCGACTGTCCGGTGCGAGACGTGTCACGCTGCACGAGGAGGAGGAGGGCGCGGCGGGGAGCGGGGCGCCGCACCCCGGCAGCCGCTGCAGCCAGCTCGCCATACTCTCCATGCCCTCGCCGACGCGCCGCTCCTCCGCCGGAAATGAGAAGTCCGCCGCCGATAGCACGGGCGCCGGCCGCGTCCACCGGCGAACGCGGGCGCGGCGCCAGCACAGCGCGCCCGCAGCCGTCAGCGCCAGCAGCGCCGTGCCCCCCGCCACCGCGACCCACATCACCCGAGCCCCCGCGGCCGTCGCCCCCTCGCCGCGGTGTCCGGTCGCCGCCGCCGCCGCGACCCACCGCCGGAACTCGCCGGCGGGGTCGACGATGTCGACGTACGTCACCCACTGATCTCGACCGTCCGGCGGCCGCACCGAGGCGGTGACCAGTTTCCCGATCGGGAGCCATCCGAGATTCTGCTCGATCGTTTCCTCGTACAGAAAATAGTCGTTGTGCGCGATCTCGACGCCCGTCCTCGCCTCCTCCGCGTGCCGCTCGATGGCGCGCAACACCTCCGCGTACACGTCGGCGTGCGCCCTCCCGCCCGGAGGCTCGTCGCTGAGGAGCAGAGTGCGGCGAGCCCCGCGACGACCTCTCGCAGATGAATATTTTTGGAAATGTTTTTTTGTGTAGTTCAAGAATTTGCTTTGTAGATTTGAAGTAATTTCGTGTCGTTCGAAATTAATTCTCGATTTAGTTAGTGACGTATTCGTGTTACCTGTTCGAACACTTATATTAGTAGGTCGAGGTAACTGTCTATATTCATAATATAAAGCTTTCATATCTGTAATAAAGTGCGGAACGTCCGAAGCGGGGCCGTCGAGTCCGGCGTCCGGAGTGGCCGCGTCCGGCGCGGCGTCTTCGCGACCGGCTTTCGGCGCGATGACGTCCGGTACGGTGACATCAGGACCGGCGTCCGGCGCGATGACGTCAGGCCAGGCGTCCGGCGCCAGTCGGAGCAGCAAGATGGCAGTGCCGGCGCGCGCGCGGGCCACCTGCAGCCTTGCGGCACCCCTCACGCTCCCCGTCTCAGATGAACATAATATTATCACTGCAATTTATAAACGTATTCAGTTAGATGTCGAGTCGACGCATCAGATATCCTTCTTTAGATCGATCTATCTTCTATCATATCATTCGTTACGTCGTTGTTATTCACGTCTACTTTCACGCAACCCATTCATTCCTTCCTACTACGGCCACTCTATCTTACCAATATACCTCTTCCGTATACCCTTCCTACCATATTAAAAGTTTTCCTTGTCACATGCAATTCTTTCCTCATAATAACTGCCATGCCATAAATATTACCATGGCATACGACATTAAAACAATGACACCGATTTTGTATCCATTGAATGAAGAAGGAATTCGTCTATAGTGGCAGGAGCACAAAGATCTGAGGGCTACGTTGATGTCTACGCAGTCAATTATCGGGACAATTGTTTTTGGTGACGACTGTCATCTCTACAAATATAATAATAGATTACCCTGATGACGTTTGCCGGTTTCCAGCCGTGAAAGCGGATTTCGACTGACGTAAAGGCCGGCCTCCGTCAGCTCGTGCGCTACAAATGGCGCGAGGTGCGCGCAGGCGGCGTGCGGGGGCAGCAGCGCGCGCCGCCAGCGCAGATGCGACGCTAGCGCGCCCACGGCGGCGGCCAGGCCGTGCGCCGCGGCGCAGGAGGCGGGCAGCGCCAGCGCAGCGGGGGGACGCAGCTCCCGCATTGCGCACACAGCCCGACCAGCCTGCCCCGCCAGCAACACCGCACCGCCGCCCGCCAGAGCCCGCACCACGGCCTGCACCACTGAAGTGCGCCAGTCGTCGCCACACGTCTCTACAAATACCCCAAATAAATAAAAATCAAATGTGGTGACACAGGTAGGTACATACATTTACAAGGGTTGCATGCTCGACACGAGCTCGGGTCTATTTTACTTCTTATTATCTTATTAATATTATAAATGCGAATGTTTTGATGAATGTTTGTTAGGTTAGGTTAGTAGCTACAAAGCAGCTCTTGTTGTAATGCTATACATAGCTAGACTCACCATTATAGCTTAAAATACTGAATTCCCGCCAAGGCAAACTTTTGTTGATGGCGTGAGCATACGCGCGAAGTCCATCTGTACTGAAGTAGGCTGGGTCGCGCGCCGGGCACGCTGAGCGCAGCACGAGCAGAGCGGGTGGCGCGGGCGGCGCGGGGTGTGCGGAGGGAGCGCGGGCAGCCGCTGCGACCAGCAGCGCCAGCATAAGCTGTGGCGCGCGCATGCCGGCCGGCGTCACGACGCAGGCGCAGGCGCAGACGGCATGTGGCCGCGTGGCGCACCTCGTCGCGCCAACGCGGCTCTCGGCCGCACATAACTCTGTCCGCTGCCAGTGGCTGCTGGCTGCTGGCTGCTGGCTGCCTGTAGTAATTTAATGTAAATTATTCTCAAACAAAATGATCTGAACATCAGTTAGGTACGGCTTGTCAACTTAGCTATATTTATAACTAGAATTAAATTAGAAAAATTCTAGTAATAAACATAGCCTATGTAACTCAGTGATAATGTACTTTCCAATAAGTTTATCTAATTTCTGTTTGAGTTTATTCGTCACGTATAAAAATATAAATAGTTTCTCTTTATATTAACACTAGTTGTCGCCCGCGACTCCGTCCACGTGGATATATAAAAAAACTTAATCAGTGTAGCCCACCCACCGATCCATCACATCACATCCATCTAAACATTCGCATTTACAATATTAGTAAGTTAAATAAAAAGCAGCTAATCAAGGCATAAGTTCGAAAAAAAATGAATAAATAGTATCCCATGTCCGTCTCCCGGCTCTAAGCTACCTCTTCACCAATTTTCAGCCATATCGGTAAAGCTGTTCTTGAGTTATAAATAGTGTAACTTTATATATATAAAAGAAAGTCGTGTTAGTTACACTATACTAGTATAGATATGACATGTCTTTACGAGAGGATAAACTTTGCAGAAACGACGAATATTGGGTTTGGGAAAACTATAACAATGTATCTCTTATTTATCTAAATTTCATAGATTGTTGATAGTTCCTTACTGGATCAGGATTCCCTCCTGACGAAGGCCGAATTTTTTTAACATGATTCTGAGTCGGCCGACCACTAAACTAATACAAATCTATTAATATTAAGTTATTTATAGTATTGTTACATTTGGTAACATGTATGTATGTATGTACCTGATACACTGATTTATAGCGCGTAAATGTTGCTTGTTTTGTATAATATATATGAGGAGTAGTAGCGAGGTTTACAGGTGCTACAGGTGATGTTTGTCGCGCGTTACGATCATTTACCTACCTAGTTTAGTAGCATCTTTTTACAATTTCATATTTACAATATTACACATTTGGAAGATTTCTAAATATGTTTTTAAATGTGCGCAACGAAAGTATGAAAATCAACTTATAAATAGAATGTTTTTCTATGATCGGACGTAAGATGAGAGTCGCGGGCATAGAGCGGACTGCGTAGCGTACCGAAGCAGGCGACAGCACGGCGCGGCGGGCGCGGCGCGACTGCACCCGGCGCCGGTTGTAGGCTGCGGGCTGCGGGCTGAAGTCCTGGGGGCCAAACATGGGCGAGGCGCTAGGGGCGGGAGCGGGGGCTGCTAGTGTGATCAGATTTTATATGACTAGTCGTCTGTGCTTACTCTATAACATTTCAATATAAATTCACCTAAAGTATAATATTTTCTTAATTTCCTCATCCTTGATTTCCACGTTATTCATATTTTCATTGTGTTTTACCCATCAAATGTGTGTCATATTTTCACTAAAGCACACAATAAATAGCTAAACACACAGCAGAGCATGCGCGCCGCCGCTGCCGGACCTGGCGCTGTGGTGGCAGGTGGCTGGAGGCAGGCGCTCACTCACCCTTGAATACGCTTCAATCTGATGCTTCAATGCCCTCCATTGACTTTGCTATGGGACGGGGAACACAAAAAGAAATAATATTCAGTTTGTACCTTATAATACATTATATCGTTACTAAAATTATTCTCGTGTCACAATATTCATTCCCATAGTCCTCCGAAACCGCCGATTCTCATGAAATTTTGTGAGCATATTGAGTAGGTCTGAGAATCGGCCAACATCTATTTTAAATCCCGCGCGGACGGAGTCGCGGGCGACAGCTAGTAATATTCTATAAAACCAGTTTAGTTTCTCTGTTTAAATACTTAACTTTTTATATTTAACTAAAAGAGTTATTTTCAAAAGTAAGCCAAGTGTGAAATAAAGAAATGCGCCCTTTTCCGGCATACCTGAGTGTGCACCACGGGGGTTGATCAAAACTTTTGGAGAGATCTAGAACTTCACAATCTATTGATGGCGCCAAAGTTGATCAGTACAAAGAAATATGAAGTTACATAAAAAAGACAAATGGGATTTTCATCATCTTAACTAAATCTTAGGTTAGATTTGATGGATGGATTAATGTTTATTAGAAAGGTATATACAGAACGAATGTATGGATCTGGATGAAATTTAATGTAAGTCTGTGTAACGTAGTCTAGTTATTTTAAATTCTGAATAGTAACCTAGATACCATACACTGCGTCTGGATGAAGTAGACGAGTCTGGGGCACAAAAAGTATGAAGGCATGTCTTTGTATTTACAATCAATGTTAAATATTTATTGTATAATTGTTGAAAGATATACAAAGTGCAAAGAACAGGCGAGTCATGAAGGCGCTTCACAAGGTGGTTCCTGATGGGGCAGCAGGCTGCCCTCGGCCACGGCCAGGATGCGCGCCGCATCCAGACGCAGCGCCAGGCGGCCCTCGCTGCGGCAGAGGTCGCGTGCGCCCATTCGCGCGTACAGAGTGCGCGCCGCCTGGTTGCTCTCCAGCACGTGCCAGTCTATGCGCGTGACGCCGGCGGCGAGCGCGCGCGTGCACACCTCGCGCAGTAGCGTGCGCCCCACGCCCGCGCGTCTTCGCGCCTCCGCCACGTACAGGTCCTCGATGTAGAGCGCGCGCCGCGTCCAGCTTGAGTAGGCGCGGTTGCAGAGCGCGTAGCCCACTACCTCGTGCCCCAGCTCGGCGACCAGCAGGAAGAACCACGGCGGCCGGCTGTCGAACCCGTCCGCTGCTAGATCTGTCCACCGCCAGGCCGAGCGTGTCATTACTGTTCAGCGACAAAAGTGTTGGCGCAGAAGGCACCCATCATTTGTATACACACAATTACGAGTAGTTCAATCGTTAACGATCTCAATGTCACTTTACTGTTAATCATTAAAATTGTCTGATACAATAAATATGTCTAACGAGTACTATCTCGTATTAGGTGGAGTCAATACGCCCGTGTACGCGCCCTGTATGATTCCCTCTGGATTCCACCAAACATAAGATGGATGTGTTGTTAAACGCCAATATTTTTTGGCGATGCATCAAACGGCGTGGAGGTCGTCATGTCTAAAGAATATTTGTATGACTGTACTTATAACATAAGGCTCATATTTGTAAGAAGTGCTTATGGGTGAGTGCGCCGCTACAAGGATCACATTTTTCTATCGGCCTCGCCAGCCCGTTTTCAAACGGGTTTCAACGAGCCGTCGGCAGCGACATTAGTAACGACTCACCTTCGACGCTAAGCTGCGGTCCCTCCGGTATGCCTTCGTACGCCGCGAGCTCCTGCATCCAAACATTACATTAGAAACATTTATTGGTGTGCAGTGGAGTTTTTGGCAATCATTTAAAACCCTCTTTACGCGTAGTAGCCTATGTCCTTTCTCAGGACTAAATATAATTAAGAAGAACAACAAAACATATTAATCTTACGAAACATTGTCTTAAACCTTACATATTCTTATACAAATTTTCATCCCCTATTGTTATTTTGCACCCCTAAAGGGTAAAATTTTTACAAACATTGAATGTAATAATTATTGATATCAAATTAACAGCCTAAAACTAAGTTTCAAGCTTCTATCTGTAAAAATGACGACACTTCCATACAAATCCCTTTTTCGCGTTAAAAAGATTCCTGACATTTTCCGGGTTCTAGACTATCTGTGTACCTAATATCATTTAAATCTGTTCAATAGTTTTTCGTGAAAAGCGGACACGCAGACAGACAGACAGACAGAGTTACTTTCACATTTATAATATTAGTAAGGAAGTATGGATTATTTTTCTGATATTTCGACCTTATTTGACATTGTTCGGGAGCGCTCGGTCGCTCGGTACACATGAGCTGGTGTAATGTTACAAATTTATCCAGCGGAATAGATAAGTATATCTAAGAACTTCACAACTTTGTGAAATTAAACGATCAAAATATAAAAGAAAAACAATTTTGCAATCAAAGACAAAAACATGTATAAACAGTCTGTATGTCCTTCAGTCTGCGTTTGTTCCTGTAATGTAATTTGAATATTAAATGTCCGAGTTGGACTTCTTATATTTTCTGGAAGTAGGAACTTTCATCCGGCATCTATCGGTTAAAAGCGGAATTATTTTGATACGTGCTTTTCAGTGTTACTTGACAGATGGCGCTTTAGAAAGACTCGCTGTTTGAAGGAAAGCAATCGAATAGTGCAACAAGCTTAAACATAGAAAATGATATAAAAAATTACATAACAATGCCAAAGAACAAAGAGAATAACGTAATATTTTTTGATGTTGACATAGGGCACTAGCAAGCTGTCATAATTTAGTTTGAAACATGCCCGCTCCATGTGCCCGTCAATTCAGATAGACGGTTAGTGTGTCTATAAATAAAATAAAATATGAATTGACAATTTGATAGCAGAAGCACGAAACTTTTAAGCTACATTTGGAAAAATATATTTTAAAAATTTTTACAGTTGAACCTTACTTTTTGCACGTGGAACGATTTTGTTTACAGTTTGATCTCAATTTCGCAATACAAGGTATATAGGTAAATGTATATTATTGAAATAATTCCTTCGTGTCGTTGAATTCGAAAAGTGGACTTTTCCAGTTGATGAAATAAAAACAACTAGCAACAGCGCCATCTTCTGTCCCGCAGACAAAAATGTCACCATCTCTATGATATGTTCGGGCCTCGAAATTGATGCAAAGACGGTAAATGCGTGGGACACGAGATGTCGCTGTAGCCGGTACTAGCCGACCAAGACTATGAAATAGGACACCTGTTTCATCTCGTTAGCCGCCTAACCGTTTAACAATGTCAGATCTGAAACTTGCACATGACAACTAGTATTTTAATATACAACAAATGAAATATGAATCAATCTACATTAACATGAATAGATATTGAATAATTTGTGTATCTCACGTATATCATGCGATGCACGGCGGGCAGGTCCTCGCGCCGGCCGTCACGCACCACCAGCTGCCCCGCGGCCGACACCTCCGACGACATTGCGAATGCGAATGATGCAAACAACGCCTGCCACGCCACGCCACGTCACGCCACGCCACGTCACGTCACTACACCTCTAGGTGGGGCGGGGGACGTATTTATTCGACTCGAACAAGTTCGAGGAACACGTATCATGAAGAGTTTAAGTAGCGCATTACCAGCATTTACTCGTATCATTTATTTGAATAAATCATTAACTATATGTAACTCTTATACGAGCACACAGAAGACAAGCATTAAATAGAAGCAATTCCGCGATTTCATTGATGATTTTAAATGCCGGAAACCTATTTTTTAGTTTTAATGCCCCACTTTCCTTGTAATGAAAAGATGCGAAGGGAAAGTGGATTTGAAGGGCTAAGTAGGCCACCTATTCTGTTGAATGAACATCTCTAACCATTTATTAACAAATGTATCGTTATGTGTTCCTAAAGCAAAATGAATGTGCGACAACATACACACACACACACACACATATACGCACACACACATATACGCACACACACAGCGTGTGATTGACATATTAATTTGTGTCAGTCATATACAGTGACCTCTATTGTATAGGTCACAGCTCACATGTAACATGACTGAGTTGTTTGTGATGCCAACACACAATAAATAAATGAAATCAACTTTTTGAGTAATGCAGGACAGCTATGTAAGTATAATACACAACAAGGGACATACATTTCATGGAACATCCCCGATGCGCTGTTCCCTATGTTTAAAATCAGGGGTGATGTATGGAATTGTAATAACTATGGAGAAATAAAGTTGATGTCACATACTATGATTTGGTAGAAACAGATAAACGAATAGGAAAAGAGAGTGAGGTATCACAGAAACAGAGGTTTTATATCTGAACGGGGAACAAAAGGTGGTAATTGGCATTACCCAGTTGTGTGAAAAGTACAGACGTGTGCACAGAACCTTGTATATGGTGTACGTAAACATCTGTGGTGGGATATGAAAGAAAGACATTTGCCTGAGAAGTTCATCCAGATCGTGAGTGCTATGTATGTACGAGCATGCATTCAGGTCAATTAGATGTTTTACTGAAATATTTATGACTTATAATTTGTTGAATTCGGTGTCTTCGGCTGCCAACAGGTATGTTCATGTTCATGACTATATAATCAGAGGCGGGGGCGGCGGCGGCGGCAGCGGCAGGCGCTGGCAAGGCGGGCCGACATCGCGCAACCCTTTGTTGCCTGAGTACGGCAGCATAGCTATGTCTCAACAGTTTGAAATTTGGTTAAGTGCACTTCCCATTACCTTATCATTCCGCGCTAATCGTCCGTCCGTCCGTGTTAGAGCGCGCCGAAGTGCCTAATGGACAATGGACATATGTAGACGAAGCTTTACTTTCGCAGCTTTTTCAAGAGTTAGTGTGGTAACATTATTTGTGATTTACGTCATAAAATGACATTAGCTCCTGTCTTCATTGTCAAATCAACTGTGTTTCGCTGACGACATGAAAATATTTGCCAGAATATCATCACTTGACTTGTCATGACATCACTTCAGGCTGATCTGTCTCGATTAGAGAATTACGATGGCACAAATAAACTTGATTTAATCCCTCTAAGTATTTCGTAATTAAGTATACTCGAAAACGTATGGCGTTTACTAAATATTATACGTTGGGTGGGTAGGACATGCCCAAGTGCACGAACCTCCGCGACTTAGACGTTCATCGCAACAGCAACTTGTTCTCCAACATGCGTATTTACACTTTTACCAAAAAACAATCCAAGTTGCTCAGATTCATCATACGACTCGCTAAATGCTTCACGGAAGTTAATGGCTGACATGTATAGATGCACTTCTACGCTCTTCTTAGCTAATACTTATCTTTCGAGTTAACTTTGTTTATACTAAGCTCGTTTAGCAGTTTGTTTGCTTCCATCCTGTAGTGTTTGCTTGCAAGGGGTATTGTTGTAGACTTTTAAGTATCTTATACATAAATGAATTTCTCGTGTCATAATGTTAGTCATCATACTCCTCCGAAACGCTTGACACGTTTTTATGCATATTCAGTAGGTCTGAGAATTAGCTACTATTTTTTTACCCCGCGCGGACGGAGTCGCGGTCGACAGCTAGGTATTTTTGTATATAGTTGTTGAGGCGAGGGCGTGAAGGCGCAGCACTGGGCGTCGCTCAGAGCCACGCTGCGCGTGCGGCCGGTACTGCGCGTGCGCGTGCCCACTATTCTATAAGTGCGGGAGAGTAATGAATAATGATAGCGCAGTGGATGTGAGCGGTGCGAGGTGAGCAGCCGAGAGGCTGGGCTGAGGCAGGAGCGAGCGCGGTGTGCGACGGCGGGGCGGGGCCGGGGCGCGGGCGACTGTCGCAGTCCGCGCGCCGCTCGCGTTCGCTGCCGCAGCACGCCGCCGCCGCCTGCGCGGGCCGCACTCTGCGCTCGGCTCCGCGCGCACCATGACCACCGTGGAGGACCACTACCACTTCGGTGAGTGCAGTGCTTTATCAAAGTTTTTCATGAATGAAGACCAACTCGCCGAACATAAACGAATGTCGCCGGCCATTGTTGAACTGCGCCGAGTTGTAACGTTCTCAGCCGCATAGTTAACAGGTTTGCAAATTTGTAAGCGAGAAATGTCCTAGTAACGCTAAGAATTACGGTACAGTACATGAGTTTAGTCAACAACTGAAAAATATCCAACGAGAAGAGTCGGGCGGCCGCGACGGTCCCGGGGCCGTGGCGACACGCGGGCAGCATGCGGGCGGCTCCGAAAGCGCCGGTGCGACGGCGGGGCGGCGGCGGGACGGGCGCGGCGCGACGTAAGACGGCCCCGCGCTTTATCATACACCGATTAGATAAAGCGAAATCGCTGAAAGTCGTGGCGGCGCAGTAGGCCGCCGCGCGCGCTGCCCGCCGCCGCGCTGCCCGCTTCCTTGTTATTGTTAGCGACTGTTGACCGCGACCGGCAGCCGCCTGCCACCCGCGCCCGTCGCCCGTCGCCCGTCGCCCGACAGGCACAGGTGTGCTAGGTGCTAGTGTCCGACGGGACACCGGCCGCGAGGCCGCGAGGCTGCGTGACCGCGACTGACAACTCGTGATGCATGTGTGAGACTCTCCGAGGGGAGCGACTTCGGCGGCTGTCGTTGGTCCTCATGTTTCAGGTTAGTCCTCGTTCACTACTCACGTTATGAATTTGGATGTGCATGGTGCAACGCGGGGCGCGACGCTTCCGGCGCGATAAGATC